TGCTGATAAATTAAGGATGTTTGAAGATTCATTATCTTTCGTGAAGTAAGCTTTTCAATTTCCATTATAATTATATTTTGAATAAAGAATAATCATGGTCAACCAACTAGATATTTACGCAAAAACAATAAACTCCAACCATGCGAAATGATCTCCTTTTATTTATTTTTTTAATTCTTGATATTATTTTGTATGATCAATTCTGTAATTTAATTAGTCTACATTAAAAAAAAAATAAAAAAAAATAAAAAACCTGTAATTCAGTATTTGGATTTTTGCCCATTGATTTGAATGCTTTTGATCCATGTTCGAAATTGGGTTGATTTAACCCCAAACGATTTGGGCTGATTTAACAACAAAGGAAACCCAGCCCACGAGTACTTCCATCTTCGTGGACAACGTCTCTCAGAACCATTGAGGTTCACTCTAGTTTTTTCTGCAAGTGCAATGCAATGGAAGACCTGACGTATTACACGTAGTTCATAGCCGGTAGTCGGCCGAAGGAGGTAGACGAAGTGCTCGAGCAGAATAAGTCCTCCGTAGATTCAAAATGAAGGTGATTCTCTCTGTAAAATTACACCCAAATCGAATTACCGGCAGGGGAGGAGTAAAGAGGACGACAGTGCACTTCGAATTCTGGACGACAGTCTCAAATTTCTGTTACTTTTTAACGTTTTAGCGTTCTAAATCATCTTCTTTGCAATCCACATCCGTGAATCCCGTTGAAGAAACTCAGACACCTATTCTAGGAGTAAAGACGAGGGTAGTGCACTTCGAATGAAAGTCGATTCTGTATAAACGCTACTGTTTTTCTTCTAATAGTAAAACAAAAAAAACGGTGTCATGACCAATAAGAGATTATATGAGTAGAAGACTTGCTATTAGTGCAAATAGCTTTCTCAGTTTTTCTTAGTGGAACACGAAGTTACGCATGCAAGTGCAGATGAAAATGGATTGAAGCTCTTCTTACCTACTCAGAAGCTAATTTCCTCCGAATTAATTAATAAACCGGTACAAATAAGGTGCCTTAAATTATGAGCGTAGCAGTCATTACTCATGGTAAGAGAGGGAGCTTATAATTCCTTGCATCATCATGAAAACGATGTTCCACCATCAGTTATATAATTTAATAATAAAATAATTTGTACTTTTAATTACATTTTTAGGATTTTTTAATTTTTTCATGTCAAAAAATAAAAATAAAAATGATGTTCTATTCTAATGAGGAGCTTATAATTGTTTTATACTTTACAATTATTTATGGTCCAAGCTGTAGAAGACAATTACAGTATTGAGCCTAAATGTACAATTTTTACATGATATTAAAGTTCAAATTCTGCACTGAAAAGTCCATTGTTAACTTACCTAACAAGATTCAAAGTTGATGTCAGACTTACATGTAAGGGGCATGTTAAGCTACTTAACAAAACCTAACATTTATAGTGGGCCTATATGTGAGGAGCGTGTTAAATAGAAAAATCCCACATGGAGTATAAAAGTAAAAAACTTGTGAATTAAATATAAAGAAAGCTACTCTACTTATTGTCAATTGATTTTAAGTTAAATATAAACCTTGGATTGAGTTCACATGAACAATTTTCACATGGTATCAGAGCTCAGATTTTACATATAAGGAGCGTATTAAGTCACATGACAGGACCCGATATTCATGACAGGACCCGATATTCATAACGGGTCTACACGTGATGGGGCGTGTAAAATGAAAAATGAAAAAATCCAACATCAAGTAGGTGTGACATTCATAGTAGGTTTGCATGTGAGGTGGTTTGCAAATCTTATGTTGAGCCAACATGCTTCTTACTTAATGTGGGATTTTTACCTTAACATACAGTAAAATTTTATTATAAAAAAGTTTTTATAGTTTATCAATCTAAGTTATGAAAAGGAAAAAAATTTATAACCTTATAAGTCGAGGGTGTATGAAGATTTATTATCTAATCTTAGTTTGTGAAGTAAAGGTCCATTGATTTAATAACACTTTCGTTTCCTGTGTTTTGTTTTTGTTGCAAAAAATTTAAGTAATCAAAACTTAAAACCAACAACAAAAACTAGAACAAAAAACCGATAACTTGTTTAAGAAGTTTGCAAAACAAACAACAAAATTAAAAACATGTTGTTTATGAAAAACTATCAGTATTTTTTTTTTTTGAAGGAAAAAATAATTACAATACAAAACAAGTTTTTATTAAATGTTGTCAAATTTTGACAACATTAAATGTAGGGGGTGGGTGTCGGTCAGTTTGTTGACTGAATCAATCATTTTCAGTAATTAATCAATTTTTTAGTTATTTATTTTACTAAACTGCTAACCAATCAAAATAGAGCATGTTTATTCGTTTAATGTTATTTTTTTCCAATTTCACCGGTTCAGTTTTGCTTTTTAACCGCATTTTAATAGCTTTATTTCAATTTTAAATCTTTCTTTCCAATTAGAGTTTCTTGGTGCATTTTTCTTGATTTCAAATGGCCAAAACAAAACTAATACAACTTAAAACAACAATTTTCCTTTTTATGAAAAAAAAATAATAAAATTTTTAAGCATTCACAAATAGTTGCATATAAAAGAACTAAGAAAATCATAAAGTTTTTACAGTTAAAACATATAAGGAACACATTCACTGAAGGCAAAGCAACAAAGCAATAGGAACTCGAAAATGAGTCATCAAACTAAAAGCATTTATTCTTTATGCAAAACATTCAGAAATACTAAACCATAAGATAGTTGTCAACTAATCAAACTAAGTTTGTCAAGTAACACTGCATAACTACTTAGATCACTATTAGTTTTTTTAAACTAGAAAGTAAGAAACTGTATAGAATAGTATGTAGCCAGCCACCATCATCCCAAAAAAGCAAATGACTTGATGCATTCTCAAACAAGCACGCCATTGGTTTTTTCTCTTTCTTCTTTGGGTATTTGTAGGTTAAGTTGTCCAAAAAGCTACAGCAACAATTAAATCTTATAAACTGTACGAAAAGAAACTCTATCAATCATTCATGGCTCCTAATCCTATTTACTTGGCAAGACCACTTCACACCTCAATTAGCAAAATCAAATAGAAGTTAGTAAATTAAAAACAAAATATGTGAGTACCAATTTTATAAAAAAAAATCATAAGAAATTACTTTACTTAATTAATATTGAACACCTTTACTTAAAATTGGATGCAGGGTGCATCCAACTAAAATTTCTCCATCTCTATCAAGTTAAAAAGAAAAAAGAAAAGGTTTTAATTATTGTAATTAACTTAAGTCCTCAACCATAGTACAGATAATAAAAAAT